GCGGATCGACAGAGGCTGGGGTTTGGCCCATGGCCTGGGCTACACAGCGCCCCATCAGCAGAGCAGGCACGAGACAGAACTCAGCCCATGGGGTCTCTCAGCTCCAAAGTCCCTTCCCCCCCACCCCATTGCTGTACCATCCTACCCTGGGTCACCCCACACTGCAGCACTTACATCACTTGCCAACCCAGTTACCTCAGGTATCGCTGAGGATCCCCCTATCGAGACACCCTCCCACCCCCACTCCCACCCCGTGAGTTGCCTCCCAGCGGCAGAACTTGGCTGGAGAAGGAAGGAGTAAGGCCAAGTACCCGGACTCCTGTGACTCCTGTGGCCGGGGCCTCTGCGAGGGTGGCAGTGGCTCTGCTCTGGGGTTTGGGGACAATTGTCTGAGCGGGATCTCTCGTTCCAGGGCCAGCATCTCGCTCCGTGGAGCGCCTCAAGGACATGATCAAGGCTGGGATGAACATCGCCCGCCTCAACTTCTCCCACGGCTCCCATGAGGTGCGGGGTGCGGCGGCAGGGCGGCGGGCGGGTTGGAAGGTGCCTGGGGTCCTGGGCACCCTCCCTGATGCCCCCGCTCCGCTCCCGCCCCTAGTACCACGCCGAGTCCATCGCCAACGTCCGGGAGGCGGTGGAGAGCTTTTCGAGTTCCCCGCTCGGCTACCGGCCGGTGGCCATCGCGCTGGACACCAAGGGCCCGGAGATTCGCACCGGGATCCTGCAAGGGGTGAGAGGCGCGGCTCCTGCACTGGCGCGGAAGGGGCGGGGAGGGCCGCGGCAGGGGGCGGGGCACCGGGGGGGGCCCCGCCCCCAGGGCCCGGAGTCGGAAGTGGAGCTCGTGAAGGGTTCCCAGGTGCTGGTGACTGTGGACCCGGCGTTTCGGACCCGGGGGACCAAGAACACGGTGTGGGTGGACTACCCCAATATCGTCCGGGTCGTGTCGGTCGGGGGCCACATCTACATTGACGACGGGCTCATCTCCCTAGAGGTCCAGAAAATCGGTGCGGACGCGCCTCCAGCCCTGACCGCGCCCAGACGCGGGGCTCTGTCTGCGGTTTGGCTCCCCCTACATCGTAGAGCGCCCATTCCTTCCCCGGCCGCGCGTGCTTCCCCACCCGCTCCAGGAGTCCCCAGTGTCCAGACTCCCGCGCTGGTTCTGGGTTGGGCTGGACTGGGGGCTGGTGGTCTCCCCAGACGTCCATCTGGTGCCCGCTCGGTAATATAGGAGGAGAGTGGGATGTGGTTCCCGATCTCTTCGCGGTCCAAGCCTGCTGTTCCTTCTGCGGTGACTCTGCCCTCAGCTTCAACTCTGACCCTGGCTCGCTCTGTGTCCGCAGTCCCAGAGGGCCTGGTGACCAAAGTGGAGAGCGGCGGTGTCCTAGGCAGCCGAAAGGGCGTCAACTTGCCGGGCGCCCAGGTGGACCTGCCCAGTCTGTCTGAGCAAGATATGAAGGACCTGCGCTTCGGGGTGGAGCACGGTGTGGACATTGTCTTTGCCTCTTTTGTGCGGAAAGCCAGCGACGTGGTTGCCGTCCGGGCTGCTCTGGGGCCGGAAGGGCAGGGCATTAAGATCATCAGCAAAATCGAAAACCACGAAGGCGTGAAGAAGTGAGGCCGGGTCTTAGGCCCCTCACCGACCCTATCCTCTTTTTCCTGCCTCTCCCTGGTGTCTCCTGGTTCTGTCCTGGCACTGATTCCCCTAACTGGCAGGTTTGATGAAATCCTGGAAGTGAGCGATGGCATCATGGTGGCCCGGGGGGACCTGGGCATCGAGATCCCAGCGGAGAAGGTTTTCCTGGCTCAGAAGATGATGATTGGCCGCTGCAACTTGGCTGGCAAGCCGGTCGTCTGTGCCACACAGGTCCGGAGTGAGCTGCGGGTCTTGGGGACACCTGAGGGTGAACACCCACACCTTAGGCCGTAGTGTATTCTGCTGTGCAGTGTTTGATCCTCAAACAACATTAGGTAGAGAACCAGTGACCCCCATCTTCAGATGAGGAATTCGAACTGCCAGACCATGTATTATAGCTTGCAAGTGTGACCCTGGCTTTCAGGACACTTAGAGAGTGTGGGTGTCAGAGAAGCAGTGTGGGCAGGACCCCCAGTGGAGGTGTGAGTCCTACAGTGCTGACATCCACGGTGCCCCCAGATGCTGGAGAGCATGACCACCAAGCCCCGGCCTACACGGGCGGAGACGAGTGACGTGGCCAATGCCGTGCTGGACGGAGCCGACTGCATCATGCTGTCCGGGGAGACTGCCAAGGGCAACTTCCCCGTGGAGGCCGTGAAGATGCAGCATGCGGTAGGAGTGCAGAGTGGGCCAGGGGATCCAAGCCCTCTAGACTCCAGGCCCCTGCCCAACCTGACCCCCTCCCTCCCCCCACCGGTGCCTGCAGATTGCCCGGGAGGCCGAGGCTGCAGTGTACCACCGGCAGCTGTTTGAAGAGCTACGCCGGGCAGCACCCCTGAGCCGTGACCCCACTGAAGTCACCGCCATTGGGGCCGTGGAGGCTGCCTTCAAGTGCTGTGCCGCTGCTATCATCGTGCTGACCACGACTGGCCGGTGAGGGGGACACTGGGGGTGCCCAGACAGGGCTTTGGGTCTGGGTAGACCAGGATGGGCCACAGACCTGGGCTTTGTCTCATCGTCAGGAATGAAGAATGTCACCTGGGTAAAAAGAGAGGTTGCGGTGAGGGCTAGAGGCCAGGAGTGGCTGGTCTCGGAGTGAGCCAGGAATTGTGCCGGTGACTCGGGGGCTGGGGGAGACAGTGGCATCACTGGGTGCCATGGCTTCAAGGCCATGTGGGTCCTGGGGCTCGGAGGCAAGCCCGTCCAGCCCACAGAGCCTTACGGTGCCGACGTGTTGCAGAAGGGCTGGTGGGCCTGAGTTCAGATTTGCTCTGAAACGTAAGCTAGGGGACCTTGGGTAACTCACCTGCTCTGTTCCTCGTATTTATCATGAGTTAATCATTTGTTCCTTGTGGGTTCATGAAGATTAACACGAAATATTAAGTGCAGGACCAGCAGGTGGCATGGTGGTTAAGGTGCTGGACACTCCCACATAATCGACCATGGTTTGAATCCCAGACCTGGTGGCTTGTTCGCTTTATCACTCCCCCCTCTGTCTCTCTCTGGTCAAATTAAAAAATAAGTGAATGGGGGGACCAGCAGTTGGCATAATGGCTGTGTCACTGGACTCCCATGTAGTCAACCGCGGTTTGAGTTTCAGACCCAGTGGCTTAAATTCACACGGGGTGTGTGTGTGTGCATACCCAAGATCCCGAGAGAATGGAGAAGGGATTGCGGTATGGTCATCCCCCTGGGGGGTGATTTCTCACTTTCTGTCTCTCTGTCTCTCTCTGTCTTTCTGACGAGCGCACTCACCCTATTAGCAAAAACCTCTTAAAAAATAAATAAATAAGTGAATGGTGCTGACAGGTGGCATGGTGGTTAAGGGTGCTGGACTCCCACATGGCCAACCACAGTTTGAATCCCAGACCTGGTGGCTTGCTTTCTCACTTTCCTTCTCTCTCCCTCTCTCACTCTGTCCTTCACTGATGAAAGTCAAAATGAGTAAATAAATAAATAAATAAATAAAGCAAAATAAAATAATTCTTAAAATGAATAGACAAATAAAATGAATTCTTTAAAAAAGATTAAGTCCTAAGTGTAAATTAAGTACATACATGTACATTCTCAAAAGGGGTTCGTAGTTCTTACAGAGGTTCTCACTGTTCTCTCCTTTGCTTTTCCTTGTTGTCTCATGCCTTCCTTGTATGGTAAGGGAGGGCAGGCATCTTTACACTCACTTTACAGGTGAGAAAACCAAGGCCCAGAGAAGTGACCACCCAGGTTCACACAATCTGTTGGTGACACCTGGAATTGGAACCCAAATCTTTTTTTTTTTTTTTAGTTTTTTTTTTTAGAGGTTTTCGCTATAGGGCGCATGCGCTTGCCAGACAGACAGAGAGAGACATAGAGACAGAAAGCGAGGGATGGCCAGGCCACAGTCCCTTCTCTTCCATTCTCCTCTTGGGGTTTTGGGCATGCACGCACACACGCTTGGTGTGATTTTCAAGCTCCCAGGCGTGGACCTAAACCCATAGTCGGCCATGCGAGAGTCCAGTGCCTTACCCACCACACCACCTACTAGCCCCCAAACGCTTTCTTTTTCATTGCCAGAGGGCACATGCACTGTCCAGAGAGAGAAAACGCCATCCCCCATGGAGTGTGGCCACACCACAATCCTTTTCCTTCCACTTCTGCATCCCATCAGTATTTGGGGTACACACACATGCGTACCTGGCATGTAACCAGAACCCAAACTTTTGTTTCCCAATTCCACACCCTTTTGCTGTTCTGGACTGACCTTCCTGCATCCTCCAGCTCGGCCCAGCTTCTGTCTCGGTACCGGCCCCGGGCAGCTGTCATCGCAGTCACTCGCTCTGCCCAGGCTGCCCGCCAGGTCCACCTCTGCCGAGGAGTCTTCCCCTTGCTGTACCGCGAGCCTCCAGTGGCCGTCTGGGCAGACGACGTGGACCGCCGGGTTCAGTTTGGCATTGAAAGCGGTGAGCCGCCTAGACCTTCCTTGCCTGCCCACCCCACCCCGGCACTGGCATCAGAAGGGTCCGCACCCAGCACTCCGCACCGTCTCCAAAGGCCTTGCCCTCTCCTTGGGTCCCAGGTTTTCCCTGTGAGATTCACTGAGTGGAATCTTGTCCTCTAAGGTTGGGGAGAGGGAAAGA